ATCCACCTAGCCATCCATCTGTCCATCCATCATGCAGACGTCAGCTGAGCCAGTAATTGTTGATAACTGTTGGGCACAGAAGGTGCCATAAATCCATAGATTGTTGACGGTGGAGGAGGTTATGTGTACACAGGAGGCTTAAGTGTGGGCTGGTGAACGGGTCATGGGACTTGCCTGTTATCTACTCAAAAAGTGAATGAGCAGAGGTGGGATGTGAGTGCTTGGTGCTGAGTGCCAGACCCATGTGTGTGCCTGGCCTTCTTCCTGCCCGGGGCCCCTCCTATGAGAGCCCCTTTCCCAGCACACATGAAGGGACCGATGAATCAGGTATGTGTAGGGCCCATGATAAGCCTGAGCATCTGCACCTGAGGGCCACAAGTCACACCACAGTGCTGCGTCCACGCCAACTGTGATTGCTCAGTGGTGCAGCCCCCAGGGCTCAGGGTGCCTGAGGAGTGGACTGTAAGGGGAGGAAAAGGGCCTGGGGCAGGGCAGGGTGAGGAATGAAGAGAAGGGGTATAGGAGAGAGGGCCCCGAGTGGGGGTCCTGAGCTGGCCTAACACCACTGAGGCCCACCGTGTTGCCAGGAACAAGAAGGCCCACAGCAGCTGGAACATGGGTGCCATCCTGGAGGGGGACCGGAGAAGCTTTGCGTGTCGTGGGCCCAAGGAGCGGCTTGCCAAGGACATGATCCTGAGGGCTGGGGAAGGGAACTATGACTGGATCTACGGGATCCTCAGGGATGACCTCGCCAGCGCTGATGTGGCTGATGCCAAGGGCTACACTGTGCTCGCTGCGGCTGCTGTAAGTCCCCATGCGGGGTGCCCCCGGCACTGTGGACCCGTGACAGTCTGGGGTCCTCTCCCCTCTGCGGGGCTGCTGTCCTCCCAGCCATAGTGGGATGCACAGGGTCAGATGGCAGAGAGGCTGGGGCGTGTTGATCTTCCCACGCCGCTGTCTCTGAGTCAGGTACCTGCTGTCCTCACGAGGCTGGCTTCCTCCCTCCAGGTTCACTGTCACAACAACATTATCAACCTTCTGCTGGACCACGGGGCCGACGTGAACAAGTACACAGACGAGGGCCTCACGGCGCTCAACATGTGCTTCCTTCTCTACTACCCGTCCAGGTGCTTCAAGCCCAACATCGCTGAGCGGACGGTGCCCAAGCCCCAGGTCAGCCCCTTGACCCTGCAGCCCGGCCTGGCGTCTGTAGCACCCTGTCCCCCATCCCCCATCCACCTGTCCATCTCTCCTGGCCGCGGTCCCCGGCCTCCCTGTCTCTGTGCAGATGGGCTTCAGATGGGGTGAAGGGACACTACGGCCCGCGGGCGGGGAGTGGGAGGCAGGGACGGAGCCAGCATGCCCGCTCAGTGTCCTGAGCTCTTACTGCAACGCCAAGGGCTATGTGTCCCATCCAAGCCACATGCACAGCAGTCGGCCCAAGACCCCTCCTGTGGGCCCCAGGGAACGAGACTCGGAGGGAGGGGGGGAAGGCTGGTGATTCAGGAGTGAGGCACCCCTTTGCCCGTTGTGAATAGAACTGCCCAGAGGTCCCTGGTCAAGCGTTAGCGTGAACTCCTGCTTTGGGTTGTTTGGGATGTACCCCCAGCCGTGGGATCGCGGGGTCACGTGGTGGTCCTGTGTTTCGTCCATCCGGGAGCTTCTGAGCCCTGTCGCCGCTGCAGGGGCAGCTCTGTATGCCTCCGTTCCAGGGCAGGCTCGGGGCCTCACAGCTGGCTGGGCAGTGCCCGAGGGCCCGCTCTCTGCAGCGCAGGGCAACCTCCGTGGCCTGTCTCCTGAGCGCCGGCTGCAGGGGCCGCGTCTGCATACCCCTCGGGGAACCCTGGACCCTAACTGTCAGCCCTGTGAGGCAGGCCCAGCCTGGGACTGACCTCCTCCCAGCAAGCCTTCCGTGGGGGCTGCGGCTTTCTGTCCTCGTGGTCAGGGCCCCTCCTGGGCAGGTGAGGGAATGGTGCTGGAAAAAGTCCCCTTGCTGGGACTCTTCTCTCACCTTAACCCTGTCTCCTGAATTTCTTCCTTGAGAAGAGGTGGGCAGAGCTCCTCAGGTACCAACACATGGCCCCCACCCCTGCTTCTCCAGGGCAGGCCTCAGTTCCTGCCTTCAGTTCCCTTAGGTGGGACCACACCAGCTCCTGAGGATTTCAGGGTGGGGAATGGGTAAGGGAGCAGGTGCACGCGGGGAGGAGGCCAGAGCCCACCGGGTCCCTGCTGTCCTGGGTGGGATGGGGGGGCAGGTGCACACGGGGAGGAGGCCAGAGCCCACCGGGTCCCTGCTGCCCTGGGTGGGGTGGGGGGGCAGGTGCACGCCGGGTCCCTGCTGCCCTGGGTGGGGTGTGGGGAGCAGGTGCACGTGGGAAGGAGGTCAGAGCCCACCGGGTCCCGCTGCCCTGGGTGGGGTGGGGGG